ACTGGGCTCTGGTGATCCTTCCGCCTCAGCCTTCCAAGTAGCCAGAAATACAGGCACACACTACCACATCCAGCTAATTTTTTGATTCATTGTTGAGACAAGATCTCACCATGTTGCCCAGGCTGGTCTCAAACCTGCAGGTTCAGACAATCCTCTCGCCCTGGCCTCCCAAAGTGCTTGAGCCACTGTGCCCGGCTGATGATTATCATTTTTAACCACAAAATACTTTTAATTAAAGTATGCACATTTTTTGACATAATGTTACTGCACACTTAATAGACTACAGAATAGTGTAAAACTTAACTTTTATTTGCACCAGGAAACAAAAAACAAATTGTGTGACTCTCCTAATTGCAACACTAGCTTTATTTCTGTGGTCTGGAACCAAACCCACAATATGGGTATATTGTGGCACGTATACAGGCATATCAATCCAAGGTATGCCTGTATATATAAAAGTTTTACTGAAGATGCTTACAGTCTAGTTGGGAGTATAACTAATATACCCCAAACCCCAACAAACAGTATAGAAATATATATAGTCACACACCAAATTACATAATATAAACTAGCATTACAGAATATTGACTAAAATCAGGTAAGCATAATCTTATATGCTAAAAAATTGCTATGTAATTAAAATAAGAGAAGATTCATCATCAAAATCACTCTGGCAATTGTGAGAATTAGTTTTAAGTACATATGCCAATAACTAGTTTGAAAGTGGCGATTCCTAAAAGCTCTAAAAATTGACCTTCCATATGACCCTGCAATCCCCCTGCTGGGAATATACCCTGAAGAACACAAATCACTCTATAAAAAAGATACCTGCACACATATGTTTATCGCAGCGTTGTTCACAATAGCAAGAACCTGGAAACAACCATGCTGCCCATCAAAAGAGGACTGGATTTTTAAAATGTGGTACATATACACGATGGAATACTACACAGCCATAAAAAAGAACAAAATCATGAATTTCACAGCAACCTGGATGGAACTAGAGTCTATAATACTGAGTGACCTCTCACAGAAACAAAGATCAGAATATAACATGTTCTCACTCATATAATGGACCTTGAACATCCAATGTAATACTATAAGAAAATGACCGATGGTACTGGGAAACTATGGGGGGGGGCATGGGATTAACAGTAGAAAGTAACCTAAAGAAGATTACTTATATGTAAGGGCAACTAGAACATTAGCTGTGCTTTCTAGAATATTTGGATGAAACATTAATTTAGATATAACCTTTATGAACGAAAGACAGGTGTAAAAATAGGCTCATCTAATAAGAAAACATAATTAAGAGCCCAGAAATCATGAAGTAACGATTTCTATCCCAAACGCAAAGCATAAGAATCCCTATACATCACTTCAATGCCTGGATGTCAGGTGCTGACTAACTGAAAAACCAAGCAAGGGAGGGGAAAATATCAGTGTCATTCCAGTCCAATTAGGCTATATTTTTAGCTGACATTATATTTGCACTTTAAAATTAAGGTTTGGTTGGGCGTGGCAGCTCACGACTGCAATCCTAGCACTTTGGAAGGCCAAGGCAAGAGGATTGCTTGAGCCCAGGAGTTCGAGGCCAACCTGAGCAACATAGAGAGGCCTAGTTGCTACAAAAAATTGCCGGGCATGGTGGCACGTGCCTGTATTACCAGCTACTTGTGAGGCTAAGGCAGAAAGATCACCTGAGCCCAGGAGTCTGAGGCTGCAGTGAGCTGTGATCGTGCCACTGCACTCCAGCTTGGGTGACAGAGTGAGACTTCCAACTCAAATAAATAAATAAATAAAATTTAGATTTAACCTACACACCCAAAAATGTATATTTTACCCAGACTAGTAGCATCTATAACATTACAGTATCTCATACTTCACAACAAATATATTGGTATCATTTTATATATTGGTATCAATTTTGGTATCATTTTAATTTTCACAAATTTATGCCATTTTCCCCACTTTAGGAGGAAAAGATTATTTTGTTTTTATATAGAACAGACCCTAGACTTTCTTTGCCATTCAAAATACTTGGTAATATCTATCAGTTTGATTCATTTGACTCTAAGAGACAACAGAATCTATTATTTTTTAAAAATACAGTTTCCCAAGGCATGGGGCATCTCTATACAGACTAATTTTATGTAGTAAGTGGACTGGGAACTCAAGATCCTAGCAGGAAAGATATTCCTTTTCTAATTTTCTTTCTACTGGTTATACTAAGGATTGAGTTTCAATATGATGCAAGTATATCTTCAGCGTTTTCTCTAATATTAGCTGACGTTCTTTTATAACAAAGACAACAAACCTCAGAAAACATGGACGGCAATATTTACTGAGACTTATTTATTTTTATAATTGCCATCTACTTATAGCAACTGATAATTTATACTGGTTTTTCATTTATCGAAATAATATAAACTTCTTTTGTGAATGAATTTAAATTGAGAGAATGAGTCAATGTCAAGAAAAATATTGGAAATAGTAGTATATATAGTTCTCAGACATAGCTGGATTTGGGCAATGGGAAAATTCACAAGTGACTAAAGTTGGAGAAATGGAGCTGAAATAATTAACAAAGTTAAAATGTGTATTCATTTGTGGATTTCATGTTAATTGCTGTTAATATTTTTATCTGAGCAATATAGGAATTTCTAAATTTTCATTACTATTGACAGAAGACTGCAATCTATAATTTAATCCAAAGGGAAAAAATATACATATATATAAAATAAAATATTGACACACTCAGTATTAAAAGACAGAACAAGAGAACTCTTAATAGCATTAACCTGAGTTGGTCCCATGGTTACTTGTACAGGAATTTGGAGATGCCATTATGTACAGCTGAATCATCACACTATAAACCTAGAAGTCCATATTTCAGGAGTGCCACAAAGCCAAGGTCATATCATAATAGGACAATTTGGTGTTCTAAAATAATGGTTCCAACCTTGTGTTCTGCCATAGCACACAGAAAACAATGCTCTCACACTACATATATTCCTGGGGCATACTCAGATTTTGATGAAATTCTCCCCTTACCTCCAGTTTTTTCCAAAACATTTAGGCAATACTGGGTTGTAGATGTTGGTTATGTATAATTTTCAACATGTTACTTTCCATCCGGGAAAGCTAAATCAAATATTAAGTAAATAAAAACACACTAAAATAATCCATTTTTAAAAAAAATAAGTCATTCCCACATTTCAGTGTTTTACCTACTCTTAGTAACAAAGAGTTGGGGTATAACTCACAACTGACAGGATCAACAATGTCACATGACACTTTGGTCCAAACTCACTTTCCTATTGTTGGACCGTTGGGTTAGTGTCACAGTGTCACTTCTTAGTTAGACTAGAGACGCTAAGGTAATGAATGGAATAGAGCATGAGTTGCAAGTGTGGTGGGTCTGGCACCAATTGTTTGTAATTTGATAAAGCAACCAATAGTCCAAATCTAACTGCAACACTTAAAAAAAAATATGGCTTTTATGATATATACCAAAACACATTTTTGTCTTAAAGTGGAAAAAAATAAAGACCTAATTTCGGGACTCAAAAATAGAACAACTCACAGGTGGAAATCCAAATCTTCTCTTTTGCATTCATGTGTCCTACAATATTAGTAAAAACTAACCACTCCTTGTACAGGTAAAATGTAGCGTTCGCTGAAATAACAGGTAAAATGCTTTAGTGTATTCTGATTCAAGTTTTTTAAATATATGGATAAGTAATTTTTGAAAAATTAGATGGCATGAAAAATTGTAAGAATAAGGAATATGTTAAATGTAAACGGTACCATAATGTAAATAAAGGTCCAGAGAACTAATCAATATCACTGACATAAAATCAAGTCATACATTGGACTAACTCAGCATACCTTCTAGGAAAATGCATTCCTATCATGAATTACAACAGAACTGTGATTTGCTTACATATACATGTTTGTTCCACTCTTGTTGTTATAAAACCAATCAACAACAATCATTTTAATTTCAAAATTATGTTGTAAACTTACCTTTGTCAAAATCACAGGAACAAAGCACGGTTGACATGATAGCTTTGGACATCTTAATAATACAACTATCTTTTTTAGCATCTATGTTGACATTGTAATGGGCCCAAACTGTCAATAACTCTTCCAAAGCAAGTTTAATAAATGTGGCGACATGGGCTAATATTACATAAATCAATTCACATAGCCCATGTTCACTATATATGTTGACTCTACAAAAGAATGTAAATTAAGGAAGTCAAAGTGAAAACAGCATTAAGCAATAACCAAATTAACCAAAATAGTAAAGCAGAACTTTATGCTCAAGGGTCCCACATTCACACATATGTTAAAAGCACAATCATTAAATGTTTTGATGAATTGTCCAGGTTTAGCTAATAATTTTAATGTTACTATTAGACTTTGGTCCTCTTTAATATAAATTAGAATCAGATTAATGAACACATCCTTTTCTTCCCAAGACAATATTATTAACTTTTATGTTTAAGGATCCATCATTTTTCAGTTAGAGAAATAATGTGATCTTATATGATATCAGATACAAACAGAAATAACTAAAAAATAATTATCTGTGTCAAAGTAGAGAAGACAGAAAAAAATATGATTCACTCTCACTCTATATGAATCATATAGGTGAGAATTCACAGAAATACCTATGTAAAACACAGTCACTATTTTTTATTAGTAGGTATAAACTTCAAGCATCAATAGCTCAACTGGTTAACATTCCACCAAAGTAGAAAAATGCTAATTTTGAAAAAACAGCCTATGATACTTCCATCAGTAAGTGAATACAGAAAGCACTGTAATACCATCAAATTGCCAAACTAATAAAGGTGGATAAACAAAATGGAATTCTCCTGCTACTTATATTAAAAAGAAGTCCTAGGCATCATTCAGACATCTCAGGCCCAGCTATAATTATGTGTTAGCCCACTGGGCGCATGACAGCAATGTGATTTGAAAAGTACTACCATGATCTTTGAGACTGCGAAGGATCACGGCAGGAAGGCTATGGGACGGCCATCCTGTCACTAACTCGACCTCTAGTTCCTTAACGTGGGCCCTGAGCATGGGGGGTGGCACTTGTAGAAGCAGGTCAAGAGGCAGCAAAGCTGAAGAAATAAAAGGGGGGAAAGACATGAAACTGTAACATAAATTCCGCTGAATTTCGGGGAGGAGTGTTTGATTTTATTTCTGCCCATGCTAAGTTACCTGGTCTTGGTCTTGATCCTATCCCGCCAGGGAAGTCTCTGAAAATAGAATTAGAGGCGGTTAAAATGACTTGTTCAACTTAGATTTGGCAAATACTTCCTGAGCATCTACACTCTACTGTGGTCTACACTATAAACACAAATAACAGTTATTTTCCTTTAAGATGCTCTTAAGAATTTTAAAAAGAGAGAAATAAACTTATTCCAACACAGAGTAGAATTGACATTCTACTGGCAAATGAAAGCAACTTGTCCCATCACTGTAGTTTATAAGTTCCGCATATGATTAAAAGCCTAAATCTTAGTATCTTAATGTCTTGAATGATTTTCTAGCTATACTTTTTTTTTTTTTTTTTTTGGAGACAGGGTCCAACTCTGTTGCCCAGGCTGAAGAGCAGTGGCATAGCTCACTGTAGTCTTAAATTCCTGGGCTCAAGTAATCCTCCTGCCTCAGCTTCCTCATAGCGTTGGGATTACAGGAGTGAGTCACTGTGCCTGGTTAATTTTTTATATTTTTTTGTAGAGATGGAACTTGTTTTGTTGCCCAGGCTGGGCTCAAAATCCTGGCCTCAAGCTATCCTCCTGCCTCAGTCTCCCAAAGTGCTGAGATGACAGAAATAAGCCCCCACGCCCAGCCTCTTGTTATATTTAAAAATCAAAGCACTGATTTTGTATTACTAATAAATAACATTTAAAATTTTATAGATGGTATTTTCCACTATTTATTTCTGCTATCTTAGAAGAATAAACCCTATACCTATAATGAGACACTGTTTGCATTTAGAACTATGTTTTTCCTAAATTTTCCAGTGTTAGTAATATGCCTTGTTTGCCCTGCCCCCAAATTCTAGATTGCTTGATCATTTTGCAAATTGATTTCAGTGTCTTCTACCCTGTGGAGGTGGCCTTAGACCCCACCAGGGATATCCATAAATAACTTTCAGCTTTGTTTTTTCCCACTGTAACCTAGAGCCAATTTCCTAATCATTTTCTGGAATGAAATAAGAAACATCTGTGCCTTCACAATTCATAAGAGTCATACTTCAATTTAATGCAAACCAACAAAAATATATCAAACATCTGCTATTTATAAGGTACATGATAGGTATTTGCCAAGTAGGAGTGAACACAAGGATTCAGATTCAAGAAAACATGGCCGACAACACTCTTACCCAACCCTTTCATTTTAATCATAGAATTTTTGGATACATATATGCAACACACACCTAAGTTATTAAGTAAAACCAAATTGGCACTCATTTACCTATCACACAACTTAGATAACAGAATAATACCAAAATCTTTACATCCACCTCTGAGTTTCTTCCATATCTTTCTCCATCTCCCTCCTTGAACCCCACCAAGCCAGCCCTCCCTTGATCCTATTTTTTCTGTCCCATTCTCAGTCCACGTTTCCAGAGCCTTGAAAAGTAAATGGAACTTTCCAGCCTTGCATAGCTTATACACTCTCCCCAGCCCTGGGCTAAAGGGCATGCTTAAAGAAAGAAAAGGGGCAGACCTGCCACCAGAAAGTTCAGAGAGAGAGGCTGGGCACGGAGGCTCACAACTGTAATACTAGAACTTTGGGAGGACAAAGCGAGAGAATTGCTTGAGCCCAGGAGTTTGAGATCAGCCTGGGCAAAATAACAAGACCTCATCTCCATAAAAACAATCAGAAAATTAGCCAGGTATGGTGGCGTGCGCCTGTAGTCCCAGCTACTCAGGAAGCTGAGGCAGGAGATCGCTTGAGCCCAGGAGGTCAAGGCTGTGGTGAGCCACGATCATGCCACTGCATTCCAGCCTGGGGGACAGGGTGAGACTCCAATTCAAAAAAAGAAAGTTCAGAAAGAGGAACAATCACCGCAATGTCCAGCAATGTCTGTGTATGGGCAGGACAGCTTCAAGGCCAGGCTGAGGCGCAGAACAAGAGAGTCTGCTCCAGGTCCTCACACCTCCGTGCACACGCCACACCCCAGCAAATCCTTTCTGAATAACTTTGTCCCTTTGTCTTCTAGACGAGGCCAGCACTGTCTGACAGAAATCTCATGCAAGCTATAAACATAACTTAAAATTTCGGCAGCCACGTTTTAAAAAAAAAAGAAACAAGTGAAATTTATCTTCCTGTCTTATTTAGTCAAAAATATCCCAAATGTTATTATTACAAATATATAAATTAATAAGATATTTTACATTGTTTTACATTTAAATTAACATAAGTGAAATTAAAAGTTCGGTCCCTCCATTGCACTAGCCACATTTTAGCTGCTCAAGGGTCACATGTGACCAGTGGCCACCATATTTGATAGTAAGCTCCAGGTCCTTCCTTAGAAAGTGTGGTTATTTTCTTTGTACACATATTACAGTCATGTCACTTAACTACTAAATTCACAATACTTAGAAGGTGAATAAAAATGCAACTTATGGAATACTTGCATCCATAAGGTTATACTGTTCTTGAAAAGCTGGTAACCACTTATATGCTGAGTTCAATAGATGACTATTCTTGTTGTCCAGAAGAACCCAACATTCCAAACATTTTTACATGTCAAAAAACATGCACCATGTGTGCTTGTGTGATATGTGAAATAGACCATCCTGCTGATACTAAGCTGTTGCCAACTTTACCTCTCCCTCATAAAATTCTAAATTCCTCTTTAATAAACTTGAGGGAATCTTTTTAAAGAAACATTACACCTTTATTCATTCATCCAGGAAATATTTATTAGGTGCCCACAATGTGTAAGCACTATGCTAGACACTAAGATGAGATGGTAAAAAGAAACAGTCTACACAATCTAGGAGCTTACAAAACTGCATATGTATAGCAGGAAAAAAAAAACATGTTAATTTATTAGAAATTATATCACTAACCATAAGAAAATACAGTCATTTGAAATTTCAGAATAGAACAGACTCATTGTGACCAGAAGCGACAGCTTTTAACTATGCAACTGTTGGGTCCACAGATGGACCAATGAATGAAATTATGCAGAGCCTGGGGGAAGTCTGCTTCTAGATTAAACCAGATTGAATGTTTATGTTCAACAGAGAATCATGGCTACAGAGGATGGTGTTCCCATGACAGCTTAAGCTGGAAAATACACAGAAGTAGTTGAACACAAAGAGAACTTTCCAAAAATATTTTCTGGTGAAGAGGCTTAACATATTGCAGTTTGTGTTCTCAGAAAGTTTTGAAATGGACATTGACCAACAGTACTTTAAGCTGATGAAAGAATTCAGAGAAATGGAAGGCTGAAAGGATTCTAAAAGGTCATCTCTTCCAGCTCTCTTTGGATCTGGTATGACCTCATCTGGAATTTACAAGTCAAAAGAGAAAGTGACCTGATGAAAATGAGTGTTGCGGCTCGGTGGCTCAGCCTGTAATCCCGCGCCTTTGGGAGGCTGAGGTGAGTGGATTGCCTGAGCCCGTGAGTTCGAGACCCACCTGGGCAGGCGAGACCTCATCTCTACAATAAATCAAAGAATCAGCCGGGCGTGATACCGCATGACTGTAATTCCGGCTACTTGGAAGGCTGAGGCGGAAGGATCGCTGGAGCCCAGCAGGCGAGGCTGCGGTGGCTGGGAGCGGCCACAGCACTCCAGTCTGGGCGACAGAGGGAGACTCCAACTCAAAAAAAAAAAGAAAATGAGTGTTAGCCTACAGCTTCCACCCAAAGCCATTAGCAGGTAAGGTGGAAATGCAGGTGCTAACTTTGAAATTTTGTAAAGAGACTTTTCACTGAATTAATTTAAGAGTAGAGTGAATTATCTGGATGATTATTTTGCCACAAGAATGGCCATGAAGGAGATGAAGGTCTAGAATTTTATCTCTTAAGAATTCCTTTAGGCCGAGCCCACTGGCTCAGCCTGTCATCCCAGCACCTTGGGAGGCTGAAGCGAGTGGATTGCCTTAGACCACAGGTTCAAGACCAACCCAGGCAACTTGGCAAGACCTCATCTCTACAATGAAATAAAAAATTAGCCAGGCATGGTAGCGTGTGCCTATAGTTCTAGCTACTTGGAAGGCTGAGGTGGAAGGATGGCCAGATCCCAGCTGGTGGACACTGGAGTAGCCGTGAGCATGCCACTGCACTCCAGACTGAGCAATGGAGTGACACTCTGACGCAAAAAAAAAAAAAAAAAAAAAAATTTGGCCAGGCGTGGTGGCTCAGCCTGTAATCCCATCACTTTGGGAGGCCAATGCGAGAGGACTGCCTGAGCCTGGGAGTTTGAGACCTTGGCGAGAACTCGTCTCTACAATAAACCACAAAAACTAGCTGGTGGTGGTGTGCATCTGTAGTTCCAGCTACTTGGAAGGCTGAGGTGGAAGGATCACCTGAGCCCAGCAGGTCGAGGCTGCAGTGGCTGGGAGCGTGCCACTGCACTCCAGCCTGGGCAACAGAGTGAGACTCCGACTCAAAAAAAAAAAAAAAAATTCCCTTAGTTCTGGCACAGTGGCTCACACCTGTAATCCCAGCACTTTGGGAAGCTAAGGTGGAAGAATCACTTGAAGCCAGGAGTTTGAGACCAGTTTGGGCAACAAAGCAAGGCCTGTCTCTACACAAATTAGAAAAATTAGCTGGGCAAGATGGCAAACGCCTATAGTTCTTGCTACTCAGGAGACAGAGGCAGGAGGATCGCTGGAGCCCTGGAGATCAAGGCTGCAGTGAGCTGTAATCATGCCACTGCACTCCAGCCTGAGCAACAGAGGGAAACCCTGACTCCAAAAAATAAAATAAAATACACCCTTTAGATATATCTCTAAACAAAGGAAATATTTTCACGTGCATTATAAGTATATCACATAATTAAATTCAATTGTGAAAAGTAGCCAATACCATTTGACATTGAGAAAAAAAGATTAACCTTATGAAATGAGAGCCTTGGCTTATAACATTAAGATGATTTCTTCTGAGGCTATTGCAGCCACACTATCTGAGCTAAGCAGCATTTCACAGCTGAAAGATCTCTTTCAGTCAGTGACATTCATAAACATGCCCTGTGTGAATAAGCAGCATTATGTAGGGTCAAGCTCTCATATTCAATAAGGGCTTTTATCTGTCTATAATGTTAATGGACTTGGTATCATGACAAGAAAGTGGGTTGATGCCCCTGTGGTCTTCCACTCATATTCCAATTACAGCTAGAACAAATGAGCAATATGCCATGAATATATAGAACTGCTACAGAGAAAAATAAAGTGGTCTAACACTATTTTTTGTTTGTTTGCTTTTTTGGTAAGCCTGCTGGAATGTGACATTGGCAGACAGGCCAGGTTGATTCTGGCAAGCAGTGATCATGCGGTATTTATGCAGTGGAGGTAAACTAGACACAAATTATGAAAAAGGTGGAGTGGGAGGAAATTGGCCACAAGCAAAAGTACCCACAAGTCCTGAAAATACACAAGGTCCTCCGATCACATCCTCAATGCTTAACGGTCATGATCATCTTTACATAGCAAGACTGCAGGTTAGGAGCTTACTCTCAAATACAATTATGCCTGAACTGATTTATCAAAAAAGTTGTGAACCACAGGCATCTCTGAGACTGCAAACATCCAATGTCTCAAATCAGCCTGCAAACTATACCCAGTTGCCTTGGCAACAGGAGACAAGCAGACACAGAGAAATCTTGTTGCCTGAGCAACAGGATCCTTTAAAAAATGGACCTTGAGCTGTGGCTATGGCAAAGGCTGTCGGTTCAAGCCAATAAGCAAGATTTCAGTCCTTTACAATGAGAAATATGAAATTTACACAAAGATGACAGTCATTCATCTATTAATTAACAAATATTTGTAGATGGGCACTTATGTGCCATACATGATGCCCTGAAGAATGCAAAGCTGAATGGGGCATAGTATGGCACATGCCTGGCATAGAGCAATAAATATCCATGAACTGAGTGAATGAACAAATGTTCTTAAGATGATCATACTACAATGGCCAGCGCTTACTAGGAACTGAGTATGTGTGCTAAAGAGGCTGAAGTCCCTGTGTGCCTTATGAAATTCCACTATACAGAGTATCTATGCATAAGTTGAAATAAAATGCTACGACGTGCTAGATTGGAACTATCAAAGTGTATACACGGTGTCAGCCTATAAAACCTACATAAAAACCGGGAAAAGTCAAGCCCATTCTTAATTCTTTCCCAGCAAATAGTAATAGAAGGCAAAGTATTTTTTATCAAATTTGAAAATTTTTTAAAGTTTGAAATTTCAAAGAAATTGGAGCCTGGTCCTCTCTTGGTCTTGCCATTAATTATACTCCTGAAAAAGGTTTCATCAACTGATAATGGCTTGGATTACCCAGGGGCCTTCCAGTTCTAATATTATTCTCCAGCCATGGAACATAAGAATTTCTCTGAGGAGTTAGGAGCTGTCCTTCCAGGTCTGTTTACTCATGTTTTATCCACATGTCTGGCTCATTTGCCCAAGAGAGCCTATTCCAACTTATCAGGGAGGAACATTCCTTCTCCAGAAGGCAATTGATTTAAATCTCACTCCTGATGTCTAGGGTGACCAAAGCTACAAACTCATGCTTAAGCTTTCTCTCAGTACTATTTAGCCCAAGTCTGAATTCTAAACTTCGGAAGTTGTGCTCAGGTGAGGCATGCACTTCTCTGTGGTTACTTCTCATGGGGACCAACTGCCTTGTATCAGAGCCAATAAAGGTCTCCCAGGATCTCATTGTAACTGTTATACCATTTCACACAAGGCAGAGAATAGCCAAAAGATCAAACTGTCCAGGCTTGGTTTTCTATTTGTTCTTATTCTACTATGTAGTTTTGCTGTCTTCTTTTATATGAAAACTTCTCATTTACCTTCTAAACATTTTGCAGGATGGATTCATATTTCATATCAATAAACCAAGAAATGCAGGAAAATCCTAAACAAATTAGATTGAGAATAACTTCAGCTATATTTAATGCCTTTTAAAGAATTATAAATAGATTTTAGTGTTGTCCCCTTTTAATTCAGAGAAGCCCTGGGGATTACCTGGAAGGAAGTCTCAAGCTATTAATTTTCTCTCCCCTAACTTAGCATGAATCAAAGACTGTCTTTATCATTTATTTTCTTCTGAAGTCTACCCCTGTACTTCCATTTCACAGTGAGTTCTTTGAGGGAAGAGAGCCTGTCTTAAACCAAGCTGTGCTCATGGTGGCATGTCACACTGAATGTAGCACATTACACAGCACAGCTTTGTAAATGTTGCCTTAGGTCAGGGCCTGTTACCTTGGAACACACTTTCCACAGCATCAACCTCTGGGCCATTTTCTAGATCCATCTGTTGACTTGGTCATAACCCCAGGTTAAGACTCTTAGTAATATCCCTGTTTCAGTGAACTTCAGATTAAACTTCCCCTTTTCTGCTGATTTGTGCTTGCCCAAATTTGTTATAAAATATTGAGCTAATGGCTAGCTTTTTAAAAACAAAGCTCTAAAATATCTAGTACACATGCTTCTTATGTTTTTGAAGGGGCAGACAACAATTGGATTCTTGCAAATAAGACAATTTTCCATCGATCCTTTCAGAAAAAAAAAAAAGTAAAATTATTTGGAATGTCCAAGAGTCCTAAATTCATCTGATTGAAAACTTCCGTTTTAATATAAGGTTCACTTAATTGGGGAGAGCACCTATATGTCATAATTTATTTTTGTACTAAAATACTTGCTTTATCAGTGCTGGGAAGTCAGAAGGTGGGGAACACTGGGGACCAGCAAGCCCTGAATCTTCTAACTCAAGTCTCCCATCCCTGCAGTCACTCTGTGGGTTCTCCTTAGGGTTTTAGACTGTTTCTCTTTCCCTGACCTTCATGTTACTTCCAACTATGGCGTCTCTGCACTTTGGCCCACCAAAGAGTGCCAGGAGGTCTTATAGGCTTTCTCCAAAGATCTTTCTGGTAGATCATTCACCCTGAGGGTTTTTCCTTGGGTTTTGTTACCAGTAACACTGGAAAAGAGTTAGGAAGTTAAGAGACTCCACCTAACTCTCTTGGGGAAGACAAATTTATCAGTGATGTTGTACCCTTGACTAAACAACAGCAAAAAAACTCGACTTGTTTTATATGAACCTTCCTTTGCCACCTAACCAAACCCCCCCAGGAATTTGCTAGAATTCCGAAATTCATTTACATGAGGCAATTCCCAACACCCTCAAACCCAGGTGTAGGTTGTGATTCCAGTTAGGCTGCCCAGTACCCACACCTGCTCCTTTCAGAAGGCCCCCCCCCCCGATGGACTCGAGGGACTGTCGATCAAGGATCTCAGCTCTCCTCAAGGCAGTGAACAGAAACCTGACCAATCCAGGCCAATCTAACTCTCCCAGGGCTTTGAATCCTAAGGCAGGTCATACAAGAATGAAATAAACCAGCCAGGAACTCATTTATCCCAGCATTCATACCCTTACACATATGCAAGGAAGCCTCCTTTACCAACTTCATGGGCTCAGCTGGCTCTTATGCCTTCCGAAGCTTGATCCTTTAGGATCTGAATCATGCAAGTTCCCCAATGCCTTCTATTGAACCCCTGTTGCACGAGTCAGCTAGAGTCATGGGTTTTTCTGTATCCAAAAAGCCCTGACTGGTACACTTCATTGCAGCCTTAACTCTTTGTCACTGACCTGCCGCCATTTTCCCAGCCAGTTTCATCCACAGTTCTGAAGGCCCCCGACTGGCATCACCAGTTATGTGTGGCCTCAGCCGCCGAAAGTGCCCTAGCCTCAGCGCTGTCTGCCAGTCCTTCTGCCTGTTGCTCACCAGTCGTTTTCCCATCTCTATATTAGCTACTGCTAGCTGACCACACTCCTCAAATCTAGACAGGTCTCTCAGATGGGGGCTAGAACCTCATCTAATATTCAGAAACCACCAAGAATCTTCCTTATATCCTTCTTTAGATTCAATTTGTCATGGACTCCCTTTCTCTGGACACAGAGAAAGGGTTGCCACTCCACATTTTCCAGACCTATTCCTCAAGCTCCACGTTACTCTGCCACAGTTTGCCATTATCTCTTTCCCTCTCCAATCTCTCCTCTCCAATGGCTTCTCCTCAGTCCCAAACGCCCTGAAGTCATGCTAAGGAGCCCTTTTCCATCAAACATCCCTTCCCCGCAAGCTAACTCTCCCGGCTCACTCCACACTTTCTTCAACTGCCCCCAACCTGCCTTGGCACATCTAAGACCGCTGCACTCAGGTTTCTGCTCCCTCCAACCCCCTCCCCGCCCCAGTGCCAGTGAAACTGCTCTCTCGAATGTCACCAGGGACTTGCAAAAGTTTTGTTTCACTCCTTACTCCAAGAAACAACTGTCACTGACATTGCTGGCTGTCCCAAAGTAACAATTTCTCCTTCCTTTTAAAAGAGCGTTCCCCCAAACATGCTCTATCCTCCCTTGCAGCTAGATGTGGTCCTGGGAGGAAGTTCTGGCCAACAGTAAGTGAGCAGAGGTGATAGGAAGAGGCGTGTCTCCACTTCTCCTTTTTTCTTCTTGCTGGCTGTAGGATGTAGAGTGTAGTCTTGTGAGCCATACTGGCCATAAGGATGAAACCTACACCTTGGGGATATGAAGGAATGAGAAACCAGGAACCTCATGACCTCATGGAGCACAAATGCCCTGCCCCCAGCCCTCCCTTGAGCTCAGAGAGGCTAACTGATTAGTTGGAGGTCACAAACCAAGAAAAAGGCAGAGCTAGACTAGGTCCAACTCAGTACTCTTTCCAGCATGCTACTTGGTACACTATAAATTGTTCTGAGTAATAGGATCTATTTTCACAGGTGCATGGTAACATCTGGCTGTCAGGTTTCAATTTAGCCACCAACTCAGATCTGCAAAGTCTAAAAATATTTCTAGGAGCTTAATTTGTACATACCTTGTTTGGGATTGCCTTTCACCTCCTGAAGCACTAAAACTTCTCTTTAAAATGCCTAAATTAAGAAAGTAAAAATAACTTTACATTATTTTCTCTGCAAAATTTTATTTTATTTTATTTTTAAATGCTGGCGAAGAGGCTGAGAAAGGAGAACTCATACACTGTTGGTAGGAAGGCGAATTGCTACAGCAATGGTGGGAAACAGTATGGAAGCTCTTTAAAAAAAAAAAAAAAAAAACCCAAAAATTGAACTACCATACGATCCAGGAATCCCACTACTGGGTATATATCCAAAGAAAAGAAAATCGGTATGTCAAAGAGATAACTGCATTCCCATATTCATTGCAATATTATTCACACTAGTCAAAATATGGAATCAACCTAAGTGCCCATCAATAGCTGAATGGATAAATAAAATGTGTCATATACACAAAGCGGAATATTTTTCAGCCATAAAAAAATAAAATTCTGTTGCTTGCAACAACATGAATGCAGCTGGAAGACATTATGTTAAGTGAAATAAGCCATGCACAGAAAGACAAATAGCACATGTTCTCACTTATACGTGGGAGTTTAAAAAGTTGATCTCATGGAGATTGAAATAGAATGATAATTATCAGAGGCTGGGAGAGGCAGAGTGAGGAGAGCGAATGAATTTAGGTTGGTTAATGGGTACAAACACATAGTCGAAATAAGTTCTAGCGTTCAGTCGTACATTAGCGTGACTACAGCCACACTATGAATATTTCAAAACATCTAGAAGGGGAGATTTGGGATGTTCCCAATACAAAGAAATCATGAATGTTTGAGGTGATAGGTATCTTAATTATTCTGATTTGATCATTGCATATGGTATGCATGTTTCAAACTGCCACATGTATCTCATAAATGTGTATAAACATTAGGTATACATTTTTTAAATTTAAAAAAAAAATGAGACATATATTCAGTAAATGGCCTATAAATACTTTCATATGGCTCTAAGACCAAACTTCCAACTATAAGGGTCAGGTAGGAAATATTCTAGGCTGTGCAAGCCATAGTCTCTGCCACAACTGGCCTCTGCTGCCCTTGTAGTATGAAGGCAGTCAAACAATATGTAAGGAATAACATGGCTTTATTGGTGGCAAAAACAACAACAACAGTGCTGAATTTCTGTTACCTGAACCATAGTACATATCATAAAGATTGTCTGTTTATAAAAGCATCAGCTACAGTATAATGTTACAAATTGCTATTTACTTGACAGATTTGCTTAAGGGCTTTTTTCAAAGAAAAGATGCCAAACAAACCAAAAAGAAAACCCATTATTAATATCTAACAAAATACGGGCAACTCCTTCGGGTCTCCTCCCACTGTGGGAGCTTTTCCTGTCCTCTCAATAAATCCTGCTTTCAAAAAAAAATCTAAAAAATACGATAAAATATTTATGTCATAACCTACCTAAAGTTCTTGTCAAGGTAACTTCAAGTTACTACATGCAAAATTAAGGATCTAGCTTCTTCCTGCCTCCCCACCGACCCTTCCATCATTGTCACTAGGAATATACAGCCCTGAATTCATCTCAAAGCAGCCAGTAATAGACTTCTTCTAGAATTTTCTATACATGTTAATATGCATGAATATTTGTTTTCGGTATGATATTCATGTCTTCCCAATCACAAATGAAGACGTTTTGTTTAGCAGGCAGGAATTCATTGGAGAAAAAAAGGAGGACAGAGTATTGGAAACTAAGATTGTCCTAGAAAATCTGGAACACCTATTTGCTATTTTAATGGACCAATTAAGTTTGGAAAAGACAATAAATGTAGTTAAATCCTTAGGGTTCTAGTTTGATCTTTAGGGAGACTATTTTAAACGTTCTTTTATGAGATTTTCATAATATAATCACTGAGGAGAGATAATTATTTACACTTAATTTATTTCAGAAAATGTCTATAATTTTAACATTTTATCGACTTACTCTTTTCAAATAATTCTTTTCTCTTCATTTTCTACTTTAGCTTCTCTTTCAGTTTCAGATTTGTTGAATTTATCTAATCCTATCTTTCCTGGAACTCTTTCAATTTCACCTAAATATATCTTTTTCTTCTCTTTCCTATACCCCTGTATGCCTGTTTTCCTTACTGCTTCAAATTAAAAGTCAAGATTAGCATTATGGACAGAATTTATATACCATTATTTTTATATTTCTACAAAATTAAAATATTCATTTTATCTTATTTTAAATATAACACATCCTTTTGCTCTAATGTAAATTAAATTATATAAAAATTAGTCTACACTGAGAGTAATGTTTTCCACAGGCTTCTAATCCCTCTAACCAACAGACCCATAAAAGGTCACATCCATTATTCTTTGTGGTGATTTAGCTGTCTCCAAATTAGTTAGCTCAACTCCCCAGTTAGAACCTGCCTTTGCTGGTAGAAATAATGAAACTATTTACTTGACAGCTGAGGAAATGCAAAGCCACTGTGCTGGCTGGCCTTTGGGCTCTGTCAGAGAGATAGACACATCTTTCCTAATTAGCACTGCACCTGGAAAAGGAACCACTGGGTTATGGCTATGGTGATATTTACTTGACTCAAGTATGATTCCCGAACCACTACCTGCCAGAATCCCACAAATGGCAAACTGATATGAAAAGCTTACTGAATGTAGACTCTTTCAGAGGGCTTGAACTGAAGCTGCTGGAGTTATCCGAAATGTCCAGTTCATCATCGAGCTCTGAATATATATCTGCACATTCATAAAAACAATAAAAAAGCAAATGAACCTTGAAACGGAACAAGTCAAGAGTGGCTTCAGGCTGACACGCTTTCACTAGAAGTACCTTTCTCGATATTTTCCAGGTTGAAGGCATCATCTGACAGGATTTCGTCACAGGCTCTGTCTTCCTCCTTATTACAGGGGGTTGGGAAGCCTTCAGGGGGCAGGTCTGCACTCTCTGAAAGCTCACTTTTCAGGCTGGCCGCACCACTGCTGCTGCTACTCAAACTTGCCTTCTCAAAGGTTTCCTGGAAAGAGAAATTCAGTTTTTCGTAGCCTCTTTCTCTCTCCTTCCTTCCTCTCCTTCTTTCCTTTCTTCCTCCAGTAGGACCCAAAGTTGGTTGGAATGTATATTGAAATGCTTAAAATATCATTTAAATATTTTATGCAGAAGCAGCATCAGTTGTTCCATCTATACACTTGCTATGGAATCCATTCGGTTCATACATTTTTAAAAAGTCGGTCTACAAGCTACTGCTGGACGAAAAAGAATGGAGGTGGTAAGAGAGCTCTGGAGCAAAGATCTGTACAGTCCAGTGGAAAAAAAAACAAAAAACGGTATCCGTTTAGCAGAAATTTCTCTCCTTTAAGTTTTGTCTAAAATATTTGCTAGTGAATCCTCTCAGCACCATAGTGAATAAGTAAGGCTTACTTATCATCAAAACCCAAGGGAAATCAAAGCCAGGCCACAGAGAGTAAGAGGTGAGGTCCTCTAAAGATGAAGACCTCCCCCCCCCGCAGTGTAGGGGACTTACAGACCACTTGGGACTCCCCACTACTGCCTGGCCTGAAACTCTGCACAGCACAACTCGCCACAGGCTCCTCCCCAGTCCTCCCAAACTCTTGGGAGCGTTTCTGCTATGATGGCACCACAAGGTCGTCAGCCTGGCTGTGTGATTCTACATGTCCCTAAATGGTATTATCAGAAACTACAGAAATGATGTCTGAAAATAAAGAAAAAAAGAGTAAAGCCACTGAAGGCTGGCAGCTTTGATTTTTCTAAGCAAATGACAGTGGCAAAGAAACGACATATGACTCAGCAGAAAAGTTCCCCTTGTTTCTTTACCCACATAATTCTCGATGCCAAAGCTGTCTGCTTGTTGTGTGGGTTCATTTGTGGCAAGTGTGCAGAAACTTCTTAGGCTGTGGGGCTAAATGGTGATGACAAATCTAAGTTACAGATCAGGTAAACAAACAAACAAAAAAAATCAAGACCACAAGGAAGGAAAGAATAATAGTCAGAACAATACAAAAGTCTGCGTAAGTCAAAGGGAAGAGTTCATCTTATGAACTGTGTCAGAAATGGGTTAGTCCTAAGTTGACCACCCCTTCTTGACTAAAAGGCACCAACAATGAATGGTGCCTATTTAAGAGACGGGTTTGTGTCTATTTATTTCAGATTTTTTTTTCCTACAATTAAAATGACACCAACAGCTTCAAGGGGCAGGTTCCTGAAAACTCTGTGGTAGTAGGATTTGCAGATAAAGAAATCCTAAGACCTTATGGGTAGCTAGAGTCAGAAGAAAACCTCTACAATCTTTCACATGTTTATGTTCTCGAAACAAGGTGAAAAGATAAAAAGAATATCAAAAATATTTTGCGAATTACAAACTGTCCAATCAATTGTGCTTATTATTTCTCTTTCCTTAGAATCTTCTCAGTGCTCCTTTCTTCAAAGTTTCACTGAGATTCTGGCTTTGTTGAAGCCAACACGCAGGTGAAGGAGCATTTCTACTTTGAGGTTTTCTGACTAGTCTTCCATTCGATGCTCAAAGTCTGCTTTTATGACTCTGAATTGTCAATTTCTGCTTCTTAGGGTCCACCCTGGTCAGCTAACTTAGAACATGAGATGATGAGTGCTCTGGTTACCCTCTGACAGTGCTGCATGTGTGCTGCTCAGAAATTTCTCCAATGCCCAAAGCTAATAAGAGGTTTCTAATGGCAGCCTCAGTTCCCAGACACCTAGCCCTTCTAAACACCAAACCTAGAAGCTCCTTCTAAAGCTCAAAACCTTACTGTGAAACCCACTCAATTTCTTCCATGTCCATCTCTCTTCTCTGTCCCTAGCCACAGCACCCTTCTTCCTCTAAAGATTTTCAACTGAAGTCCTTAGAAATATACACATAAATAAGCACGCCATTTAGGGCCTTCCTTATGACCTTTTTTATTCTAAGCAAGCTATCCCCTATCCTATTTGAAAAACCACAACTGGCATTTGCAACCTTCCAAGGACTTTACACCCAAGATGTATCCATCCTATCAAGGTTTAAAAAGATGGAGGAGAATTTCTGAGTTGAGAAAATGTTTTACTGAATTGATGCAATTAAGATACTGAAATGAATATGTCTCTAAAACTAATGAAATGTTAGTAAAGAACAGGCATGGATAAGACATTATTCCTTTTTGAAGAAATGAAGAATGAGGATAAGCTGTGAGTACCGAAAAAGGCAATTCCAGACTTAAGGAGGCTTGACTTGCAACCAAAACCCAATCACCAGCTGGGTTGTGAATCAACAGTCACTTGCAGTGCCAAAATTTCATCCATGGGTAATTGAGTGTTTGCATAAATTCTGATAAAGGGAAATTCACAGTCTGAGAGATGCTTTTCAGACTCTCTAAGCATAGAAAATATGATAATGTCGAATATATAGTTTGCTTTAGAATGTAGAGTGTGTTTAAAGCTTACATTTCTAAAATGATCCCTTGTGACAGTTTTTGCTAAAAAATTGATATAGTTTTTGACCTTGTCATAAACCATATGCCACTATAGCCACATTTTTCCTACTACGATTTCTAGAGTTTTTCATTGTATTTGAGGACCCAACTCTTTATTCAAATTGCTCCCTGAAGAACTAGGGGCTGTTTAAGTCCTTTTAAATACCTCAGCGCACAGCCAGGCATGGTGGCTCAAGCCTGTAATCCCAGCACTTTGGAAGGCCAAGGTGAGAGGATTGACTGAGTCCGTGGGTTCAAGAACAGCCTAGGCAACTTGGCAAGACATTTTCCGCCCCCCCCCCCCAAGAAATTAGCCAGGCGTGGTAGTACATGCCTGTAGTTCTGGGTACTTGGAAGGCTGAGGCAGAAGGATCACCTGAGCCCAGCAGGTTGACGCTGGGATGGCCGTGAGCATGCCACTGTACTCCAGCCTGGGTGACAGAGTGAGACTCTGACTCAAAATAAAAAAATAAAAATAAAATAAATCCCTCAGTGCTTTGCACGATAACTTGCACATAGCAAGTGTTCAATAAATAGTTGCCGTGTTAAGATCAAAGCAAGAGAAGAGCCAAAAATGAAGGTGAGATCCCCTATAGGATGAGTGGGTTTTGTGACTTCTGTGGGTTTTTTTTTCTTTAAATCTTGCCCCTTTATCCAGGAGCCTACATTGGCAGTAGTGAGAAACTGCCAGGAGAGGGCTGTGGGGGAGGTACACCTCATTAACAAGAGTACCTGTATAATGAACATTTGTATACCTAACCTTGAATTGTACCCCACATCTTTAAAAAAAATTAATAAAAAAGAGCTGAAGAACTATTTGGTGAGGGACCCATTGGTAGGAGAGGAACTTCTCCCTTCCTTTCTCCCAGTTGGACTTATGAGACACTTAAAGCTTCTCTATCAGAGATGACCAGCTGGGCAACAACAATGTGCCTTTTTATCCCAGAAGGCACTGGTCAAAGGAAGAGGATGGTTGGATGTTTATGCTTGAAATGTTGAGGCCACTAGAGGGTTCTCAGAAGACATCTCCAGCAAGTACATTAATCTGTTAAAGGAATTTAGGGAGGGGGAAAGATGCAACTATGGGAGGGGGGGAATTAGGCTATTATCATCTTTTTTACTTTCTTATGAAAGTACTTTCTAATTACCTAAGATTTTTCAGGGAGTAGGAGAGAGAGTTAACTAGATTTATTTTGGCATCTGTATCTACTAGGAATGGATGGACACATTCTGTGTATCAATATGGCAGCAAGGACAATACAGTGCAAATCAGACAATAAAATTATCACAGATATAGAAATCACCACCATTATAGAAGATGCTTCCTGTCAGTGTTGGTGTAGGCGCAATTATGTTTAGCTCCGTTTTGCTCATTATAAATGTCATTTTTAGGTGTGCAGCAGATCATAATACACTTGTAGTTGAATAGCAGTTCTAACAGTAACAGACTGACATTGCCCAAGTTAATTGCTACAGTAGGAAAAGAATTAAGAGAGTCTGTTTTATACCTGCACACGTATGTTTATCGCAGCGTTGTTCACAATAGCAAGAACCTGGAAACAACCATGCTGCCCATCAAAAGAGGACTGGATTAAAAAAATGTGGTACATATACGCGATGGAATACTACGCAGCCATAAAAAAGAACAAAATCATGAATTTCGCAGCAACCTGGATGGAACTAGAGTCTATAATACTGAGTGACCTCTCATAGAAACAAAGATCAGAATATCACATGTTCTCACTCATATAATGGACCTTGAACATCCAATGTAATAATATAAGAAAATGACTGACGGTGCTAGGAAACGATGGGGGGGAGGGAGATGGGATTAACAGTAGCAAATATCTGTCTGGGGCTGGGAAAACACCTCTTATCAACAGGGTGTCTGAATGAAACGTAATTGTACACCTAACCCTTAACTGTACCCCACAAAACTATAATAAAAATACTGATTAATTATTAAAAAAAAAAAAAAAAGAGAGTCTGTTTTATTAAAATTAGTGCAATTGTTTAAATTGCCTTGCATGTTAGCTTTATAAGGAGAGAGGAAGAAGCAAGAAACAAATATTTATATGACACTGGCTGCATTCTATAGGTACTTTAGCACTATTAAAAAATATACTATTCCTTTCGTGTTCTGGAATATTCATATTTTACTAGCTATATTTGTACCCAGTTTCTTCCACCTGTTTATAATAACTGTGCCCTTAAAAACATAAATTCAGTGCCACCAGGTGCTTGATGGAGATCCTTCCAGTTGAGGTGATCTTTTATCAGTGGCAAACAAATTCTGTGCTTTTCATGGATGATAGCACAAAGAAAATTCAAAATAGGAGACATATCATCAACTGCATACTAGTGTACGTAAATGCAGTACTTAAGTTTCAAAGCATTTTTTTAAAAAACAGCCAGTGTGGTCAACTGATTGAAGGAGTCTTTAGAGCAGACAATGGCTGAGTGACCCTGCCAGCTTCCACAGTGCAATGAGCAGCTCCTCTGCATCCCTCCATCAGGCTGATGAAATAGTCTG